CAGAGGTTCAGGGGCGGTGAGAGGCTTCACCAGAGACAGAGTGGGGAGCAGAACAGGCAGATCGACGAAGTACACTGCTGAGGGGAGCGGCGGTGAGACAGGAGTGGTCTGCCGCGCCACATGGGTCAGCTCCACCCCCCGACCTCAGCACCCCCCACCTCCCGCATTGAATTCATGCCAACATGGCTGTTGATACCTCAGTGCTGTGTTTTAACCTGCTGTGCCACCAGGGAGGACTCCAGTGGTCGCTTTTGATGGTGGTCTCAGGGACTCCAGGGCCTGCATGCCTGAGTCTGAAGTTCAGTCACTTGTTACCAACCATGGGTGTCTCGGGCAAGTTAGAGCTCACCTGGATGCCACTGTCTGTAAAGTGGGGTGATAGTATCTGCTTCATTGCTCGGCTTTGAATACCCGAGTTGCTGACTGTAAAGCACTAGAGCAGCACCTGAGATGGTCTTAATAAGCGTTAGCTGTTGCTGCTACTACTCTGCTATTATTTCGCCCTTTGTTCATTTTATGAATCCTCTATTGTTAGGCCCTTGGTGTTTATGGGTTTTCACTGTTTTAACCAGTCTTACCACTCAGTCCTTATTCAGGTTGCTGGCTGTATGGGAAAGGTCTTTCGAACCAGGTTAGGGGTGGGGTTCCTGGGCCTCTGCTGGGGCTCTGTCTGCTGTCCCTGATGCCTGTCCTTTGCCCTCACAGGCTGTGCGGCACCTACCCTCCCTCCTACAACCTGACCTTCCTCTCCTCTCAGAACGTTTTGCTCGTCACGCTGATTGCCAACACGGAGCGGCGACACCCTGGCTTTGAGGCCATGTTCTTCCAGCTGCCTCGAATGAGCAGTAAGGAGGGACAGGGGCAGGGCTGAGAAGGGACAGGCCTTGGAGACTGACCTTAGCCCCAGAGCTTGTCGGTCCAGCCTGTGACATTGTGCTGGCCCTGGGCAGGGACAACTTTCATGCTTAAACCAGAGGGGTCAGGAGTCATGTCTACACAGTCAGCCACCAGCACTTGGACTTTCTGTGATGCTGTGGGAATCTTGGTAGCTGCAGAGAAGTGCAGGCCTTGTGCCAGGACCCCTGGGCTGCACCCTGGCCAAGCAGCTGCTCACGGTTCCTTGTGCCTTTCCTCTCAGGCTGTGGAGGCTACTTGCAGGGATACAGCGGGACGTTTACCAGCCCCTTCTATCCTGGCCACTACCCACCCAACATCAACTGCACATGGGACATCCAGGTAGGATATGGGAGGGAGAAGGCGGAGGGAGGGGAAGGGGGGGACTGAGGAGAGAAGGGGAGGGGGAGGTGCTGAGGGCAAAGGAGTGAGAGCAGGAGAGAGGGAGGGAAAGGGACTTTGGATGGCAGGGGAGGAAGGGTGGCAGAAGGGGGCTGAGCCCCTTCATCAGCCAAAGAGGGCCCCCTTCTGAAGCCCCTGAGGGCAGGAAGGGGTCGCTAGGGCTGGTCTGCCGTGATAAGGAGTCCCAGATCCAGTTCCTGCTCCTGGTCTGTGCTGACCGAGGCACTTTGGACCCTTTTCACCTCTCACCGCCTGCCTGGCCCTTGGATATAGAGAGTGTGACAGTCTGTCCCTCAGCTGCGCTGTCCACAGGTGCTGTCCAGTGACACTGGAGAACTTGTGAGAGGCGCGTGGGAAGCGCCTGCTCGATAGCAGTGAGACAAGAGCCTTTGGACAGACGAGACTCCCCCTCACACCAGCATCCCCTTTTCTTTGACAATGTCAGAACTTCCCTTAGTTACTTAATTGTGCCATCTTTGAGTCCTGGTCTGTGCTCGGCGGCACCCACCGTGGTGGCCGTGGGCACTGCTCAGCAGCCCTGGCCTCACCAGGGCGGGCGCCCCCCAGTCCCGGCAGCTCCGCGGGAACCTCGCTGGGTTTAGGAAAGAGGGAAAGAAGCAGCAGAGCCCCGAACGCACCTCTCTTGGCAGGTGCCCAGCAGCCGGAACGTGAAGGTGATCTTCAAAGCCTTCTACCTGCTGGAGCCCAGTGTCCCTCTGGGCACCTGCACCAAGGACTATGTGGAGGTCAACGGGGAGAAGTGAGCATCGGGGCTGTGGGGTGGGGGTGCCCGAGCCCCTCGAGGGATCCTGCTCCTACTGTCACCCTCCTCCAGGTACTGTGGAGAGAGACCCCAGTTTGTGGTCGCCAGCCAGAGCAACAGAATCACCGTTCGCCTGCATTCGGATCAGTCGCACACCGACACGGGCTTCTTGGCCGAATACCAGTCCTATGACTCCAGCGACCGTGAGTGAGGCGTCCTAGAAGCAGGAGCCGGGCCAGGGGCCTGAGCCCACTGCACACTCACTTCTGTTTCCTATGGGCATCGTGTTCCTGACTCCCAGATTCTCTATAGTAGCTTTTTTTAAAAAAAGATTTATTTATTTATGCATGCAGAACTGGGGTACAGGCCAGAGGTGTGGGGGTGATGAGAGGCTTCACCAGAGATAGAGTGGGGAGCAGAACAGGCTGACTGACAAACTACACTGCTGAGGGGAGCAGTGGGCAGCTAGGAGAGGTCTCTCGCACCGTGTGGGTCAGCTCCAGGGCAGGGATCGAACTCATGCTGCAGTATTTGGTGATAGCTCCTGAGACTTAGCCTCTTGTGCCACCAGGGAGGCCTCTCCCTCTGGTAGCTAGTGAGTGAAAAAACACTTCCCAGAATGCATTTATGATAAAAGGCCTGGAGTCCTGCGTGAGTGCTTGAGCCCGAGAGCCCCTGAGTTTCTTTGTCCCTGTGAATGTGAGACTCTCTGGTGTCGCAAGCTTGTTTGGATAAATAGCAGCCTTTTGAGACACCGTAGGAAACACCAGGGCAGTCATCACATTAAATAGGCCAAGCTTTGAGAATTCTGCCGTTTTCTCTGAGATACCCATGGTTCCTACTGCCTTTAATTTCACTGTCCTCTCTGTCACCAGCTTGTTCTTTCACACACACGTTTTTTTGTCTCAACCATGCATCAACTGTGCATGGAATAACCTTTTGGAAGGCATTTTAATGACCTGTAGGGTTCCAAATTTAAGTTAAAATTCAGCTATCCAGGCCCTCCCTGGTGGCACAAAGGATAAGGACACAGCTCTGCAAGCGGGCTGCAGCCGCCTCAGTGCGAGTTCCATCCCCACCCCGGAGGTGACCACATGGCTGGCAGACCTCTCCTGACCCGCCCGCTGCTCCCCTCAGCAGTGTACTTCGTCGATCTGCTTTTTCTGCTCCCCACTCTGTCTCTGAGTCCTCTCACTGCCCTTGTACCTCTGGCCTGTGCCCCAGTTCTGTGTGCATAAATAAATAAATCTTTAAAAAAAATTCAGCTGTCCAACTTACCACCCAGAGTAAAACTGGGTCAACAAATACCTTTTGCTACATGACTGAACACCCTGTAGAGAAGCCACAGAGGCCTCCCCTCAGCTTTGTCCTCTGCCTGATGATATCAGTGGTCAGATACACCAATTTCAGGAACACTGAGATGTGGATAGTACTTGGAAGGCATCTGGTGATGCCGTGTGGGTGTGGACCTGACACAGCGTGGCCTGCAGGCCACTGTCACTGTGTTGTGGGCAGGGCCTGGCCCTCGGGGTATAGCTGGCGCAGGGTCCCAGCGGGCAGTGGAACTGTGTGCATGCCCAGGCGGCCTCCCTCCACTTTGCCCAGCGTTTCCCAAGTGTTGGTCACTGAGGGGTGGGAGGTACCCGCCTCCCAGCCCAGGCTGAGGCTCCATGGCCCCTGCGCCCTACCAGTGGCAGGGTGACGCTTGTCACAGTTTGGGGGCATGAAAGCCCCGGGCCGGGGAGGAGGCGTGCAGGCCTGTTTTTCTGAGGAGAGTGGGAGCGGGAGGTCCTCTCTTGGTCCGCAGCGTGATGAAGGGAGGGCCTTGCAGGCCGGCAGCCTGGACGTCAGCCTGTGTCTCCTCTGCAGCGTGCCCGGGGAAGTTCATGTGTAAAACGGGGCGATGCATCCGGAGCGAGCTGCGCTGCGATGGCTGGGCCGACTGCACAGACTACAGCGATGAGCTCAAGTGCCGTGAGTGGGGCTGCGGGGCCCGTGTCGCCTCTGTCCCGCCTGTGACCTGGCTCCTGTCAACTGTCCCCATCGCCGGCACACTGTGCCCGGCTCCCCCTGTGGACATCGAGTCCCCTTCCCGCCCTCCACTGTTTAGAAGCCTTGGCTATGGAGTGTCTGCGGGGCTGGGGGTAACTCCCATAGCAGGGGTGTCCCCGATCCAGCTCTGGGTGGGAAAGTGGCCCCCGGGCAGCTGCATGTTGAGAGAGGCTGGAGGGCAGCCCTGGGTCCCAGCTGTCCCCTGGCCGCCGACAGCTGCCCCTGACCATCTTCCAGAATGCAATGCCACCTACCAGTTCACGTGCAAGAACAAGTTCTGCAAGCCCCTTTTCTGGGTCTGTGACAATGTGAATGACTGCGGGGACAACAGCGATGAGCAGGACTGCAGTGAGTCCCAGGGGAGGGGCTGTCTGGGCTTCCTGCCCCTGGCTCCAGCGGGCCTTCCACTCACTGCCGAGTGTGTGGTGCTTCCTTAGGTTGTCCAGCTGAGACATTCAAGTGTAACAATGGGAAGTGCATCCCGAACAGCCAGCAGTGTGACAGGAAGGACGACTGTGGAGACGGGTCAGATGAAGCCAAATGCACCAGCGGTGAGGCCTGGCCCAGCCCATCTTCCTTCAGGGGTTTTCTTCCAGTGGGGGGCTACACCTGGAGGAAGCAGCCATGGGAGAACACACAGGCCACATGTCTAAAGTTTAGTAAACACAAGCCACCTACTTACTTATTAGGTGTGATGAGAAAGGGTTGGCAGGGCAGAACCTTCCAGAAGGTGGAGAACCTTAAGCAGGACTGGGAGGGACAGTGGGTATGGGTGTGGATCGGTGGGGCAGGTCTGGGTGAGGGACATAAGGTGGGTGGATTGTCGGGCTTCTGATTGGAGAGGAGTTGATTCCCTCCCCCTTGTTCTCCTTGAGCAGTGAGCTTCGTCACCTGCACCAAACATACCTATCAGTGCCGCAACGGACTCTGTTTGAGCAAGAGCAACCCTGAGTGTGATGGGGAGAAGGACTGTAGTGACGGCTCAGATGAGAAGGACTGTGGTGAGGAGGGGCGCCCTGTCTGGTGGTGCAGGTTGTTCACTGTGCAAGGTGCATACAGAGGCAGAGATGAGGCCAGTGCCGCCCTAACCCAGCTCTGCCCTGGTGAGACCATCGGTGTACCTGGAGGAAGGATGACTGCCAGCTGGCACAAAGGCATTGCCCTGTGGACCAGTGCTGGCCTTGGAGGCAAGGCCCAGGCAGCCAGCACGCCAGTGCCTCTGTGGCAGGGCTGGTGTCCCTGCTGCAGTGCTGGGCTGGCCCTGCTCTGCTCACCAGGACACAGGGGAGTGGCAGCCCTGGCTTGCCCGTTTGCCTGGGGGAGAGAGCAGCTTATGAAGTTCCTCTGCGGGGCACCCCCCGCCCCAATCCCGCACTTCAGTTTGCAGCCTCTTGTGTATTTAGAAGAGCTGACTGCTAGTTAAATCTGCTCACTGCTGCAGCTGCTCCGTGACTTCATGTCACCCATCTGCTCTTCCCTCTGAGAGCTGTGTCTTTCCACCTTCCACAAGGACATCTAGGCAAATTAAAGCTAAGCAAACCAGCAGGTGTCTGGAGGCCCCTAAATGTATTTGTGCAGGAGAGGCGGGGGGAGGTGGGAATGGGAGGGTTTTGAATGGGGGAGTAGGGGAGAGGGGCCAGGTGGAAGCCAGTGCATCTCTGAGTTTCCAAGGCTCTTGTAGGGGGTCCCTCATGTCATGACGCTTAGCAGTGCTCACGCCACCTGGGCTCCTGCTGATGCTGGCACATGGCCTGGGGTTAGTGCCCCACCATATCTCACTGTCTATGGGTTTCCGCTCTCTCCCCCTAGACTGTGGGCTGCGGTCGTTCACCCGGCAGGCTCGGGTCGTTGGGGGCGAGAATGCAGATGAAGGCGAGTGGCCCTGGCAGGTTAGCCTCCACGCCCAGGACCAGGGCCACGTGTGCGGGGCGTCGCTCATCTCGCCCAACTGGATGGTGTCGGCAGCTCACTGCTACGTGGACGAGAGAGGATTCAGGTGGGCCTCTGAGCAGGAAATGGGGGCCTCCTCACAGGCCTTGCATGGGGTCCTTGCGCTGCCTGGGATAGGGAAGCCCCCTGTGTCTGTGAGTCATGCCAGGGTGGGACAGCAGGAGAACTGGTGCGGTGGCACGCGCCCTTGTTCAGGGCTTACTAACGTAGTAATATGGAATAATGGGCTTTTCATCATCCTAATGAGGAGCGCCCTCTCCATCAAGCCCTATCTAAGTGCCTCTCTTAACTGGTTGGGCAGGTCTGAATTTGTCCCTGTTTTACAGAAATGGGCTCAGAGAGGTAAGGTCATTTGCTCAAGCATGCACAGCTTTGAAGTGGCAGACTTTTTTTTTTTTTTTTTTTGCTTAGAAGAACTGGCATGTAGATAGACGTGTGGGGAGGATTTACCTGTAACAGTGGGGAGCACAACAGGAAGATCTATTGAAATGCGCTGCTGAGGGGAGCAGCAGGTGGGACAAGAGAGGTCTGCGGCACCATGTGGGTCACCTTTCCGGCTGGAGGTTGAATTCAGGCCATATCCCTAGGCCACATGGGAGGCCCTGAAGTGGTAGACTTGACCCATGTGTGTGGATTCCAAGGCTGTGTGATTCGTCTGCACTATGGAGACTCCCTGGGATCAGTAGAAACAGGCCTGGCATTCACATTCCAGCTCAGGCCTGCCAGGTGACCTTGGGCAAGTTTTCACACTTCCTAGGCTTCACATTCCTTAGTATGATGTGATCCTTATCCTTAAAGTTGTGCCAGTTAAATATAACAAGGTGCGGGGAACCCTGAACCCTGTGCCGGGCACACAATAGGTGCTTGGCACATTGTAGCTCAAGTCCGTGGCAGACTTGAGCCCGAAGTAGGAAAAGCAGGTAAGGAAGATGGAGGCCATTGGTGTCTTAGTCGTAGTAACCCAGGCCCTTTTGCCACTGTCTGTGGGAAGGGAGTCTGGGGAGACAGTTTGCTCCTGAGGAAGTTGGCACAGAGGGGCAACTTCCTCTGAAGGCCTCCCCCTGGGGACCTTTCTGCTGAGTATAGCCTCTTTGCTTAGGCAGCTCGTGGAAAGGTGACTCTGGCTGCCATAAGAGCCCTTTGCTGGGAGGAGTGGAAAGCTGCACCGCTATCAGGAAGACAGGACAGGACAGGACCTAGAGCACATAGCAGGCCTTCAGCGCAGATGCTGGGGTGGCCAGACGGTCCACAGGCAAGGGAAAGTCTGGTGGCAATGGAGTGAGATCCATTGTCGGGGCCTCAGGGCAGCCTCATCCAGCCTGACTCTTGGGCCCTCTTCTCTTGTCACTCCATTCACTGGGAAGAAAGGTTTTTCCTTCTTTGTGGAAGGATGGGTGCGGTGCTGGGTGCTTCTTTAAGAATGTTTTCAAACAGGGGCCTCCCTGGTGGCTCAGGGGTTAAAGTCTCAGGGCTACCATCCACTGTAGCATGAGTCAATCCCCTGCCAGAGAGCTGACCCACATGGTGCAGCAGACCTCTCCTGACCCGCCGGCTGATCCCCCCAGCCTGTTCTGCTCCCCACTGTCTTTGGTGAATCTTCTCACCCATCCCTGCACCTCTGGCCTGTAACCAGTTCTTAAATATATAAATACAGTAATAAACACAGTAGTATTTTATATATATGTGTGTGTTTATTTTTACATCATTTTGTACATTTTTTTTTTCATCTCAGTTGTAATCCCCGTGGGTTTCCCATCACCGAGTCACCCGTGTGCCATCACCATAGTCCCGTGCACTTCTCCCCCACCCCCACCCCACGGTTTTTAATCCCATTCCCCACTCCACCCCCACAAAATGTCTGTGGTATATGGCTGTTCATTATTCTTATTATTTTCTCGCCTGGTCCATTATACTGCTATGAGCGAAACCATCCAGTATTTTTCTTTTTCTTTCTGGCTTATCTCACTAAGCATGATCTTTTCCAAGTTGCTGCAAAAGACATGTGTTTTTTTTTTTTTTGGTTGCTGAGTAATATTCCATTGTATATATGTACCACATCTTTTTAATCCAGTCATCTACTTTTGGGCATTTGGGCTGCTTCCATGTTTTTCCAGTTGTAAATAAAGCAGCAATAAACATGGGGGTGCAGGTATCTTCTTGAATCAGTGTTTTTGTGTCTTTTGGGTAGATACCTAGGAGTGGAATTGCTGGGTTGTAAACATAGTAGTATTTAAAAAAATGTTTCAAACAAACTTTTTATTTTGGAATGCAGACAAATTGCAAAATTAGTGCAGAATTCTGCTACACCCCTGACTTAATCTTCTATGCAACTGCTTGTCAACACAAAGAAACACATCGGTTTTTCTTGATGAATTCAACCCAGACTTTATTGACATTTCACCAGTGTCCATGTCAACATCTTTACATCCTCTTGTTCCAGTCCAGTTTACAATCTGTCTCCCCATGTCCTCTGTCTGTGACAGTTTCTCAGTCTTTGTGTTCTAGGACCCTGCCTGGGTATGGTCAACTGCCCTGGGAATGGCCCCTGTCTTGGTCTGTCTGGCTTTTTCTCCTGATTAGATTGGGGTTCTGAGTGTTTGGAAAGAATAACACATCATTTTAGCAGGTAAACTATGTCAACAGGATTTATCAGTAGGACAGCAGCCCCCCGCCCTTGTCCGTGGGGTTGTCTCTCAAGAGCCCAGTGGATGCCTGAAACACAGGTAGTACTGAACCCGATAGATATTAGGTTTTTCCTGCACATACACACCTCTGGTGAAGTGATGAACAAGGCACAGTGAGAGAGCAGCCGCAGCAGCTGACCGTAAAAGAGGTTGTACATTCTAATGAAGGCTACGTGAATGGACCGCTCCTCCCTCCCTCTCTCTCACTCTCTTATATGCAAGTGTCTCCCTATATGAAACATTTTCTGCATAAGGCTGACAGTGGGTAAGGTGACTAAAGTTGAAGAAGTGAAGCCTCAGATAAAGGGGGTCTCCTGTAAGGTCAATCATTTGGTTAAAATAGTGTTTGCCCGCTTTCTGCATGATGAGGTCACTCTTTTCTTCCTTTCCTTGCTTTATTCTCTGGATCTGAGTCAATCTGGAAGTCTGAAAGAGTTTTCCCTTTTCTCCCATTTATTTATTTACTCATGTATTTCTATTTCTGTGGACTCATGTATATTTCTCTTTTGGGTTGTAATCCTATAGCTTGTTTGTTTTTCAAATTGTTCCAGATTTGACCACGGGGAAGTTTCTGAAGTTGGTGCCTGTGTCTCCTTCACACGACCCCTTACTTTCATTTTGTTGAACCTCCTCTTCCTTTCTCATCCTACCAGAAAGCGCTCCTGGCTCTAGGCTTACCTTGGTCTTCTTATCCTCCATCAATCCTTCAAATGTAGGGCCTGTTCTGTAGCGAGGACTCGGGCACCGAGAGATTAAGTAGCTTGCCCACAGTCACACACAGCCAGATCTGAAGCTAGGCAGCGTGGCCCAGCGCTAGGATTGGCCACTTCTCCGAAGGCCCCTGTCGCAGGGTCATGGTAGTTAGAACTGAGATTTGGGTATGCTGTCCTCAGGGCTGCCACAGCCCAGTGTGCCCCAGCTTCTTGGCAGGTGTGCCCCGGCTTCTTGGCAGGTGTGCCCCGGCTTCCTGGCAGGTGTGCCTACTTCCCGAAGCTTCCACCCAGACTGCCTTCTCTTGTTCTTGTTTCCTTGGCTTCAGCATTTCATTTCTTTCTTTTTTTATATATATAATATAGTAGTTTATTTTTACATCATTTTGTACTTTTTTTTTTCATCTCAGTTGTAATCCCTGTGGGTTTCCCATCACCAAGTCACCCGTGTGCCTCACCATAGAGCATTTCATTTCTTATTCCCTTTCCCTTTGTTGTTTGTTTGTTTTTGAGATTTTTAAAAAAGATTTATTTATTGATGCATACAAAACTGTGGTACAGGCCAGAGGTGCAGGGGTGGTAAGAGGATTCACCAGAGACAGAGTGGGGAGCAGAACAGGCAGATGGATGAAGTACATATACTGAGGGGAGCAGCAGGCGGGTCAGGAGAGGTCTGGCGCGCCGTGTGGGTCACCTCCAGGGTAGGCATTGAACTCATGCTGAAGTGACTTTAGCTTCTTAGTGCTGTGCTTTAACCCACTGCGCCACCAGGGAGGGCCCCAGATTTATTTTTATTTATTTATGCATACAGAACTGGGGTGCAGGGCAGAGGTTCAGGGGGTGAGAGGATTCACCAGAGACAGAATGGGGAGCAGAACAGGTGGATTTACTGAAATACATATACCTGATACAGTGTCCAAACTACGAGCCACTACTGCTACCAGTAGCAAACAGTAGATAGAGTTCAATCTATTTTTTGAACGAATATGTGCTAAGGGAAACCAAGAGGTCACGGGAGGTGTGGGGAGGAGGCCGCAGTCCCAGCTGAGGGTCAAGGCTGCTGCCCCTCCGCCTGGCAGCCCAGATGGCACCCATGGCAGCTCTCCCTTCCCTCCCCAGTTACTCTGACCCCCAAAAGTGGAAGGCCTACCTCGGCCTGCACGACCAGAGAAAGCGCACCGCTCCCGGGGTGCAGAAGCTAGGGCTCAAGCGCATCATCCGTCACCCCTCCTTCAACGACTTCACCTTCGACTATGACATCGCGCTGCTGGAGCTGGAGAAGCCCGCGGAGTACAGCAGCACCGTGCGCCCCATCTGCCTGCCCGACACCTCGCACTCCTTCCCCACGGGCAAGGCCATCTGGGTGACCGGCTGGGGTCACACGGAGGAGGGAGGTGAGTGGGCCTGGTGCGGCTGCTCAGGAGCGACTTGAAGCCAGGTGGGGAGAGGGGGAGCGTTTGGCGACCAGGCTGTGCCCCCACCCAAGTGTCCTTGGCAAGTGACTTAGACTCCTGAGCCCGTTTCTCCACCTGTGAACATAAAAGCCTCTCCCGAGTGGCCCTGGTGAATGCAAGCGACTTCCTTAGAAGGCTCTATGTCAGGTTCAGGGAGGAGCTGGCCTCTACAGTCCTTCCAGAAGCCTCTATCTGAAAGCCACTACTTGGTAAACGTCACACAAGAAAGAGTCAGAATACTGCTCCAGTGCCCTGTTGGAAATGTGTGGATTAGAGTCAAGGTGTAGACAAGGAAAGCAAAACCTGCCTTAGGGCCCCACGGCTTTAATAGCCTCAGCTGCCTTCTGTCTCCTGCACCCCATCCCTCCCGTGGTCACTGAGATGTGGCCTCTGGGTTCTCCCTGTGGGGCGCCTGGCCTGGGCTTCCCGGAGGAGTCGAGTCCAGCCTGCGCGCTTCTCCACAGGCTCCGCGGCCGTGATCCTGCAGAAGGGCGAGATCCGCGTCATCAACCAGACCACCTGCGAGAAGCTGCTCCCGCAGCAGATCACCCCACGCATGATGTGCGTGGGCTACCTCAGCGGGGGCGTGGACGCCTGCCAGGTGCGTCTGGGGGCGCCGGGGGGCCTGGGGGAGGCGTGCAGGGGCGGGGGAGGCGAAGGGGGGCGCTCACACGCGTTTGTCTCCCCTCAGGGCGATTCTGGGGGCCCCCTGTCCAGCGTGGAGGCGGATGGCCGGATCTTCCAGGCGGGTGTGGTGAGCTGGGGTGACGGCTGCGCGCAGAGGGACAAGCCAGGCGTGTACACCAGGCTCCCTGTGTTCCGGGACTGGATTAAAGAGCAGACTGGGGTGTAGAGGCAGGGACTTCACTCCGCGCCAGCAGCGCGCACGCCCGAGGGCTGAGAACTGGATCGCTAACGGCACCCCGCTCCAGGCCCCCTGAACCCAGACTGTGAACTGAGTTCCCCGGACTCTGAAAATGGTGAATTAGCCTGGAGAGCCCCACACCTCCTGCTCCTGCACTGCGCCCACGGGAGGTGAACAGGGGCCACCGGCAGTGCCGGGCACGACGGTGCTTTGAAGACACCGCAGCCCTCTCCAGGGCAAAGCCTTGCCGAGCCTCTCTGTCCTCAAGGTCTGCCTCTGCCGCCATGTGAAGGCAGCGGCACTGTTGCCTCTGGGAGCCTCAGGTGGGGTCACTGGGATGCTGTGGACCCCTGGGGTAGGCTGGCAGGAAACCCAGGCCAGAAGGACACTAAATGACTGTGTCGGAGTCTCAGATAGAAATTGTTTAACCGGCTGTGGGGGGTTGGGGGGTGGGGTGGGGCGGGGATGTGTATTTGTGTATGTGAGTAAAACACTTCTTTTTCTTATTGGAGTTGATGGACTCTCCTTCCTCTTCACCCCAGTTGCAAAAACTGGGTTTAAATCTCAGCACACACCCTGAAGTCAGGCTAAGGGGGGCGGTCCACAGTGCCCCAGAACCTGGTCCCCTGAAAGGAGGGGTGGTTAGGGCAGAGAGCTGGGTCTTGGGAGAGGCATGTGATGGGGAGTGGGTACTGCAGCCTGGGTCTAGCCTAGACGAAAGGAGGAAATAGACTGGGGAGCTGGTCATGTGATTGCTATGGGGGAGGGGCTGACAGGAGGATGTGAATGGAACGTCTTAAGATTTATGCACGTAAGAACTGGGGTATAGGCCATAGGTGTTGGGGGGGTGGGTGTGAGAGGATTCACCAGAGACACAGTGGGGAGCAAAACAGGCAGATTGATGAAGTACACTGCTGAGGGGAGCAGCTGGGGAGACAGGAGAGATCTGCGGGGCTTTGTGGGTCAGCTCCCTGGCTGGGGATCAAACTCGTGCTACAGTGGCTGTGGTTAGCTTCACAGTGCTGTGCTTTAGCCCATTGCACCACCGGGAGGGCCTTTTTTCCCCTCTGAGTCTCATTAACTGAATGAAACTTTTGAAGGAAGGAAGTGACCTTGGTTAATGTTCTCATGTCAGTAGTAGTATTCTCTTGACCAGTGGGACAGTGTCAAGGATCTGAGAGGACTAAGGGAGTTCCTGACTGGAATTTTGAGGGCCTTCCATGTTCCAAGGCACTCTCAGCTGGGGCCCTGGAAAAGGAGCAGACCTGGGAAGAGAAATCAGAAGGCCAGTGCCATAAGGAAATACGGGCTGGTCTTTGCTTTTGCTGAATTCTCCAGAAATCTACACCACCCCCGCCCACAATCCACAAACAACTCTTAGAAAATGCTAATACATTTTTGTCAAATGAATGGTTTTGCCTTCTATGATTTTTGGAAACGAAAGAAAGACACAGTTGGGTTGATGTTGCAAACCCACCGAGGGGTGAGAATGAAGCAGGATCCTGGGGTCTGAAGTCTGAAGTCTGTGTGTATTAGGACTGCCCATGGGTATAAAAGGTGCAGGGAAAAACAGGAAATGTTCCCTATGAAAAGGGTGGGGTGCATGTTTAGGAAATGTTCCCTACTAAAATGGGTGGGGTGCATGCTTGTACCCGGCCTGGGGCTTCTTGTAGCTTCTGCTTGATACAAAGTAGTGGGCTGCAGCTATTTGCAGGACAGAGTGCACTGTGCTCTGCTGGCTTGTTGGCCTTACTGGGGAGTGTGCTCACCCATGCACAACATTAGCCAGGGCAGACAGGTGCACTTGAGGTCCTGCAGAGTTAGCCCCAGGTTGAAGCAATCTGGGAAGGCTTCTTGAAGGAGGTGAGCTGCCTTTTTCATTTTATTCTGAGTGTATCATCTTGGGAGGGAAGGAGAAATTTCATCTTGTCATCTGTGCAAACATCCACATTGGATATTGGGTTTGCTTCCCAAGGAAGGGAAAGAATATGCACTCTTTTTAAGATTTATTTATTTATGTATACAGAGGGTATAGGCCTGAGGTTGGGGATGGTGGGGTGGTGAGAGCATTTACCAGAGCCAGAGTGGGGAGCAGAATAGGTAGATCTACTGAAATACACTGCTTAGAGGAGCAATGGGTAAGACAGGAGAGGTCTGTCGTGCCATGTGGGTCACCTCCCTGGCTGGGACTCGTGCTGAAGCAGCTGCAGCTATCTTTGCAGGCTGCACTTAACCTACTGCACCACCAGGGAGGGCTCAAGTTCGTGTGCACTTACCAGGGCCTGGGAAGTAGACAGATAAAGATGCTGCCAAAGACTCCTGTGCAGCCCGTGCCATCTTAGGAAAATTGGACATATAGGGGTGCTCCCAGTGACCTATATGGCATCCAGTTTGTACGAGCACAACCCTGCAGGCTGTCAGGCTCCGCTATGTGGTTGTCCATATAGTGGGGTTCAGGAAAGATGGCCTGGCTCGTTCTCCTACCATGCCCTGACATGAGGCCACCTTCCAGGTCAGACAGCTGGGAAGCCGCTAAGACTAAACAGTGATCACACCCTCGACGGCAGTGTCCGGCAGGCACACCTCACCCTCTCCAACAGTCTCAGCAGTGGGCCTGGTGTGGACACTGGGCATGCATCAGTTGACCGTGTCCCCAGGGTGTAGCCTGCGGGGCTGGGAACATTAGCTCCATCTGGGCTCTGCACACTGCCCTACCTCCTGCATCAGAAGCTGGGCAGGCCTTGCAGTATGTCCAAGGCAAGGCTCCAGGTCATTGTAATGTTCTTGAAGTTTGAAAACCTAGTTTCAGCATCCGTATCACTCACCCAGAGCTGTGGATGGCAGCCTGTCCTGCAGTCCTGGCAGGACCCTGGCAGCCTCACACAGTCAACACCTGGAAACTCAACACCCTGTAAGTGCCCGTAAAAATATGGTGGAGCTAAGTCCAGAGGTACTTCTGAGCAGAGACAGGAGTAGGCCAAGATTCTTAGCTAGACGTCAAGGGCATCACTCTGTGCTCCACACTGCTAGCCCTGCCGAAGACAGAAGTCCTGGGGATAAACAGTCTGAGTTGACAGAAGTGCCAGCCGGTCTGTTCCTTCTCCCCGCTGAGCACAGCAGCACCAGCCGTGCCAGCTGCAGAGTGGCTGTGGTGCACAGCCTGGGCTGGGTACATACAATGGGCCAGAGGCCTGCTTGGGCCAGCTCCTGGCCTGCTGTTGCTTCACACGGGAAGGTTCAGAGAAGCAGTAATAACCACCTTGAACACATTTGCATGTTTAACTCAATAACTATCTCCAAGTGTGTGACAAAAAATTCAATTAATCTGGTGCAACCTGCTGCTATAGGCAGCTTGAGGTGAACATGCACCCCTATACCATGCTGAGTAGGAGGCTGCTGAGGCGGATAGACTCCCTCCTCCCCACCCACAGCAACTAGCCTGCTTTGCGCTGTTTGGGGGGGGGGCAGCAGCCTTGGTGGATGGAGGACCCTAGGGCCCACTGCTCCATCTCTGGGTGTGGGTCCTCACTGCTACTCCGTCACGCTGAGAGCTCCAGAGAGGAGGAAGTGGCAGGGAACAGGCTGAGCAACTGGACACCTGCTCACAACACCGCCACACACACCCCATGCCCAGGGAGGGCTTTGTCCCCTGCTGACTGGCCTTTCTTAGATGCTAGCATCTCCAAACCATCTCTGGTCCCCTCCAAACTAACTTTGATAATCACTTTAACAATAATCAAAACCATTTAGAGTTTAGTGAATGTTTTGATCCTGCAGGATTTTAGATTCTGCAGGAGTAACAGTAAATTTTGGTCTAGTCAGGACCGTGTAGATGAGGGTCCAGCTGGGAGGTCCAGAGACACAGCCATAGGTGGGGAGGGGTTGCAGGGGACAGTCAACCACTAGGGGGCATCACAGGGTTTTAGCTGCAAGATAGGTGAGGAGCTAGTGCCCAGCTGACTGGAGAGAGGACCAGTGGGGCCTACTGGCCTGGAGGGGGCCTGGGAGGAGGAGGGGGAAGTACTCTCAGTGCCTGCACGTCTAATTTGCCTAATTTCAATTAACTCTCACACTGTTCCCATTTTACAGTTAGAAAACCAAGATACCTACCAAGACTAATTGCCAAGGCCTGGTGTTTAGGAAAGCTTGATCCATGCTTTGAGTGCTGGTCTAAAGACTCCTGAGCCGGACTCTTGGCAAGACCCCCTCACAAGCTAGATGTCACTCTCTGTCACTTCATAAGGGACGTTAGCACTACAGTGAAGCTAGGCTGTCTCAGGGAAATAGACCCATGAAGCCGCCGCATCTTGAGGCTGTTCTCTGACTTGTGAGGGGCCCCGCTCAGGAATTCTGGCAGCCATGAGACCTGTTTTCCAGCTGGGGCCTGGCCCAAGGCCATAATGCACAGGTGCCTCTGCTTTAGCCGGGCACCGGCTCAATTAGCCCAATGAGGACCCTGGTGGGGGAGGGAAGCGAGAAGGAGGCTTGTTGGAAGGAGGTGGAGATCATTGTCGCTCAGGTCAGCAACCTGGTCACTGGGCTGGGATTCCAGGTGACAGCCAGGCGCTTGGACAGCCACCAAATACTGCCGACGGTGCTGAGCCCTAAGGCCAAAGCAGGAATGTGAACATTTATCACCTGCCTTTACTTTGGCATCACCTGGAAGCTGCTTCAGACTGTTCTCCACAAAGTGACAGGTACTGGCATTGCCAGTGGGAAGGCAGATGCCAGCAGCTGAGCATGTGGAGGCCACCTTTGGGCCTGAGGGCAACAAGCTCCCAGAGCAATGCTGCTGGTGGACCCCCAGGGCTGGGCCCTGCTGAGATGGGAGCGGAGGAGCAAGCAGAACCCGTACACCAGCCGGAAATAAAAGGGCACAGTGTCCAGACCACGGCCAAGCTGTCGCCTGCCCCCCAGACGCTGAGGAGGGAACAGTTTTGCAGTCAGGTAAGTGCTTTCTCACGGCGCCCATCTGATCAATCGCTTGTGTGGTCTCGTACGCCTGCAGCCATGACTGTTGTGATGAGGAAGCCCTAACTTGGGATTGCAGAAAGCCTCAGCGCCCTTTCCCTGTTTCCCACCTTCTCCTTACAAGAGGGGTGTGTGCTCCCAATACCCGTCGTCCTGCAGCTTGGAGACGTGTGTTTATTCTGTCCTCCCAGTTGTTTCCTAAAATGTCACTGTCTGGGCTGTTTCCAGGCGGAGGTGAACTCAAGTCCATTGTCTGTTTGTTCCATTGTCTCAGAATCTTCCAGCAGGAGGGATGTGTGTATTTTCCTGGGATGCAGACTGGACTTTCCCTTACCCTTGGCTTTCCCTCCACACACGCGTCCTTCACCTTGGAGGTCATCGCAATTTTCCCTGCCCGCACCCTGTGAGCAAGAACAGCTCCGTCCCTCTGCCAGGCCTCTCCTCTGGAACGTCA